CCCCCCCCCCCCCCCCCCCCGACCCCCCATATCTATTTGTTTTCAGAATGAGACATAGGATGACACAACACCATTTTTATTATTAAAGATCTTTGTTAGCAGAAACCAATAGTTTTCCTTCCCAACGCCAGATATTTGGTTGTAATGCTACACAGACTTCCAGTGTCCACAGCTAAATTCAAACCAATTAAGTTTCACACGGAGAAATTAATGGGGGGGGGGGAAGGGGAAGAATCATTGTTACTCAGTGTTGGGCATTTCAGGTCCAGAAACTACAAATCCAGGCCAAGATTTTGTTTCTACCAACCAGTTGAGCATAAAGAGTCACAGTCACAGAGTACTCAACTGTTTGGTTGAAACAAAATCTCGGTCTGGATTTGTAGCTTCTGGACCTGAAATACGCAACACTGTTCTTGCTTGGGTTATGTCATTTTAAAACTTTTACAAACGGCTCACCGATTAAAAATAATGTTGATGAGTAACAGCTCAAAATGAGGGCTTTCCTGCTATCAACCGCACTTTCAGTGGGTAATCAGGTTTGTTTTTAAAGCCATTTGCCAAATAGGTTTTAGATTTAGATTTTAGCTTTTTTTATTTATAAACATTCGCCTTCTGCCTTAAGAGCAGTGACTAAAAAATGCTGTTAACAGACATTATGAAAGGTTTTTATGTTGAGATTGTTCTGTTGGACTCATGCAACACAACGCATCATTTATTTTTGTCTTTATTTTGAGATTCCTGCTTGCAATAATGAAAATATCTTTACGTGATAGTTGTAGCTGTATTTCATAGTCATAATTGTATTTATAATACTGTAAAGGTGTATAGCAAACTGGAAAGGAAACCTTGTACTGGTGTTTTGTTTTGACCACATGGTTTTAATAAAAGTGTTTGGGTCATTACAGCTACAGGATCTTTTATGACCCCCCAGTCTAAAGCCATAGGCATCAATATGGAGTTGCCCCGCCCCCTTTGCAGCTACAGTATAACAGTTGCCACTCTTCTGTGAAGGCTTTGCGCCAGATTTTGGAGTGTGTTTGTGGGAATCTTTGCCCATTCATGGAGAAGAGCATTAGTGAGGTCAGGCCCTGATGTTGGACGCGAAGACCTGGCTCGCAATCTCCATTCTAAGTTCATCCCAAAGGTGTTTGATGGGGTTGAGGTCAGGGCTCTGTGTGGCCCAGTCCAGTTCTTCCACACCAAACTCATCCAACCATGTCTTTATGAACCTTGCTTTGTGCACTGGGATACTGGAACAGAAAAGGGCTCTTCCCCAAACTGCTCCCACAAAGTTAGAAGCAAAGAAGTATTACAAGTTCCCTTCACTGGTTCTAAAGAGCCTAGCACAACCCCTGAAAAACAACCCCATACCATTATCCCTCCTCCCCCAAACTTTACAATTGGCACAATGCAGTGAGCCAGGTAACGTTCTCATGGCATCTGCCAAACCCAGACTTGTCCATCAGACTGCCAGACAGAGCAGCTTGATTCATCAGTCCACAGAACATGTTTCCACTGCTCCAGGGTCCAGTGGCAGCATGTTTTACACCACTGCATCCGACGCTTGTCACTGCACTTGGTGATGTGAGGCTTGCATGCAGCTGCTCGGCCATGGAAGCCCATTACATGAAGCTCATTCCAGTTTGCTGGGGTTAATCCCAGAGGAAGATTGAAACCACAGTTACTGAATCAACAGAGCATCAGCGACTTTTACACATTATGTGCTTTAGCAATCGGCAAACCCTCTCTGTTATTTTATGTGGTCTGTTTATATATATCGTGTATTGCTATTCTGCCTAAAAGTATTGACGTATGGTTTTCGGTCTACATTGCCCAGCCCTAGGTGTGTTGCCACCCCATGTGTCCATCCATCCATTTTTCAACCTGCTTATCCTTCTGGGTCGTGGAGGGTCTGGAGCCCATCCTAGAAGCTACGGGCATGAGGCAGGGAACAACCCAGGATGGGGGGCCAGCCCATCGCAGGGCACACTCACACACCATTCACAATTTAGCAATTTAGTAGCTCCAATAAGCCTCAGTATGTCTATGGACTGTGGGGGGGAACCAGAGTAGAGACTTGAACCCGTCCCCCACCCCATGTGTCCCCCCCATGAAAATCTTGGGCCTCTCTGTCAGACTTGTTCTGGCACCAGCACTGTACTGGATACAGCCATCAGCTCAATCCTGAAATGAAACAGTATGGCCCCTGGGATGAACTACCCTGTTCTTATCTGAATCTATTCAAACACCATAATAATTGTAAAATTTTGCCAACTAAAACTGAGCAGATTTTCCTGCATACAGAGTGCTTATTTAAATCATTCTGGTAGATTTCACTGTATATCCTGGACCTCAGTTCCACCTGTCCAGACAAAGACACAGGAGATAGTGTGGGATGCTAGACACCATCGCCCTGCGCTGTACAAACAGTACCACGACTTCTGAAATCCTCTGCGCTTATAATGGTGAGTTTCAGTTTCTCGTTCTACATTTCCAATTTCGCTTCACTTACTAATCCACTCTTTAACATCTCAGGGGTGGGGAAAAGTACATTATCAGTTGATGTTTGTTGTAGGAAGACGCTGAGGTGCCCTCATTCACTTTGTTACTCATGTCAGAAGTGGTGGCACAGGAGCCTTGGTGGGTGAAGGATGTGTCACAGGAAATCACAACCCACACTGAGGACAGTTGATGTGAAGGCTGCTGTCACGCACAGGTGACTGTGTGCCATGCGCGGGCAGCCTTGTCGCCATGGGGACGGGCCCAAATAAAGTTTTAGGGTATGTGCTTTTTCCTCGTGTGAGCATTCCACTAACCAGAACTGGGGCACAGTGAGCACATGTGATGAATCTGTAGCCATTACATTCAGTCAGCTAATTTAAATGTACCACCACAATGCCCACAGAAAGGTGTATAAGATACAATAAATGATCATCTGAAGAAGGTTCTGTTTCATTTAGAAATCGATAAATGGCACTTGTGATTTAAAAAGGCTTTCTTGTGTTTTTTTTATATAAAAGGGGGTGATATGGGCAGCCTTAGTCTGTCCTGCATGGCCTTTTGATCTTTGCTGGGCAGACGGTCTGAAATGTCGTTAAGGGCAGGGCTGGGAATTCTGGGGAATTGGTCACAATCTGTGATCCATTGCTAGGGCCTGCTCTGGGTCTAGGCCTGACGTGTCGAGTCATTTTGTGAATGAGAAAGTGGGGACTGACAGCTTTTCGGAGGACAGTGTGGATACAGAAAGATACATGCGGTGAAGGACCAGAGAGGAGGCAGGGAAGGCAGAGATGGCCAGTGTGCTCATTTTCCATTCTCTAAAGCTTCACCCTCCTGCCCCAACCCCCCCCCAAGTCCTCCAGATATTGCTCCCCCAGGAGATAAACAAACTCCCGCCAGCACTTCAAAGACAGGGGTGCCTTATGCAGGGCAGGAACAGAATGAAGCCAAGCCAACTTAACCGACCAACACAAACAGCCCTTCATACGAAAACAACCCATCTGACCCGAACCCGAGCCCTGATTTTTTTCGCCATAAGAAATGCCAGCAGCGGTTCAGCAGAGAAACAGATGCATAAACACACTCATAACATGTTCCACCTATAAATCAGAGCATTTTTACTATGAAAACAGTCTGCAAACTGCTGAGCCACTGTTTCTCTTGTTTGAAATTGGACCTGAATGCTATGACGCAGGTGAAGATGCAGAGAAAGTATTACCGCGAAGAAGAACGCATAGAGCGTAACTGTAATCCAGATTCTGCTCACATCTTGTTTTGTGAGTGACTACTGCCCCCTGTCTGCAAAAATATTCTAAGCCGCTTTCCCCTGACAAACTATTTTAATAAACCCTTTGATTGCTCGTACCAGTTTTAAATGCTTTGAAATCCCGTAATAAAAAGCTGAACGTATTTTAAACAGTAAGCAGTAACATAATGTAGAAAGGTTGTCATTTTTTTATTATATGCAGGGAAAATTAAGGAAATTATACGCTGTAGGGCGAATTATAAATGAAAGGAAGAAATGTAGTGTTGAGCTAATAAAAGAGGGAGATTTCTTTGTGATAATAGTGATTATGAATATAAATGTGTATTATAATAACATAAAATACATTCTGAGCACGGACAGTGAGATGATCGCTGACATTTACTGTTTTATTAGATAATATTTCTTTGTTAGCTGCTGCTGCTGCTGAAATGAATCGGCTTTATACAGTTTTATATGGTAGAAAACGTAAACTAGAAAAGTATCGTGCCCTGTACACACAGTCAGAACATTAGGCATTAGGCAGAACATTAGGTTCTGTCGCAGTTTTAAAATGCATCATTCCACGTGTAACACTTTGAACTACAATAACCAGACAGCCAATCGGCGCGAGTAGCGTGCTACCATGGAGACGATTTTATGCGTTCGGACGGGCTCGCAGCCGCGTTCTGCTGGCACGTCCACGTTGTCGGCAGCGAGCGTGGTGACGGGGACGCGCGGACAGCCAGTGCACGTTTCATTCGCTGAGGAGCGGCTAAGCTACCCGGCCAGCCAGTGCACTGCAGCAGCGGAGCCGTTGGCACTATGGGCGACCTTTCGGTTATTTCTCAGGTCGGATTTTGACAGGAAAACACCGGGAACATGACGGAAAGGTAAAGTAGCCGACTACGTTGTGCGTTGCATGCAAGTGATTTACGGTTTCAGCTTGTCGATATGCAAGAGTTATGTTGGAATAAGGATGACATTCACTTGTGCATATGACAGCCAGCTGAGCTGGGGGATACGGGGTGTAGTTAACTGTTGCTGCTTAGTTGAGGCATGAGGCATCGCTCCTCCTCTGGTTCCGTGCAGCGGGGTTTCCGTGCACATGCAGTGCGCAGAATGATACTCGCGATGCGGCATGGTCCGCCTTCCCGGATCACGGGTTTTCTATGAGCGAGAATGAACTGTCAGTCTTCCAACCCAAACCGTAACCACCCGGTCCCTTTAATATGCATGCTAGCAGAAAGATGTGGAGCGGGAATGAGATTATTACAAAGATTTAAAAGCGGTGTGAACGATGGGCGATGTTGGTCCGCTTGGGGTGCTGCACCTCTCCTGCTTTACATTGCAAAATATATGTACGACACCGTCACTGTGTGATATGCCTTAATAATCTACCTACAATGCCACGTTTAATTAATACACAACATTAACTATGCGTAAAGCTCTGTGGCATTTGTTGATTTCATCTGGGTGGCATCAGGATGGTATTTTCACCGGTGTGTCCTGTAGCACTGGTTACACTGCAATTACATGTCGTTACCCCGAGTATTTTTTCCCCAGCAGAGTCGTTTGCTATGTTCTTGTGAAAAGTTTCACATGTTTCTTAATATTGCTCATTCGCACACGTTAAACGCGCGCTGTGAATCCGTTTCCGCGTTAAACGGGATTAATTGCCCCCGCCTCATTAAACATGCTGTGCCCGATTAACCGCGGCAGGACTAGTTAACAGCGGCCGCCTTTTGCGGCTGAGCGCAGGGAAGGTCGCACAGTTTGCGGAGGCGCAGCGGTGGATCCCGTTTAACCGGCCCGGGGAACCGCGGCAAGGTGATTTCAGCTGACATAGTGCCGTTAGCGTGTGTTCTGTGAATAAAAAAATATGGCGTTTTGCGGGCGTTATGCATGGACATACGCTGCTGTCCGAGTATTGCCTTTATTCAGACATGGGCGTGCGGCAGTCCGCGTGTTTCTGTCTCTCTAAGTGGACTGGAAGCGCGTTGATTTTCACCAGGGCGGAGCAGACCTACAGTATGTCCTTAAGCGCTATAAACCGTTTAAATCAGTAACTGGTTTGTTGTAAAACATGCAATGAGGCGAATAGCCCCAGTGTAAGCGTGTGGATGTTCTGTGGCTCCGGGGCTTGAGCGGCTTCAGCACGCGAGGTTGCAGCATCGCGATCCCTCCGTCTCGAGCCACCTCTATGTCCCTCCCAGTCTTCGTCTTTTGCCATCCCTCCCCGTCCCTCACCATCCCTATTCCTCTCCTGCCCTCTCTTCTTTTTTTCCATTCTTGTCCCTCGTGTCTTCATTCCCTCTCCCCTTTCTCCATTCCTGTGTCTCTCTCCTGTCTGTCCCTTTCCATCCATGCCTCCCCCCTCTCTGTCCCTCTTCGTCCCTCTCTGCCCCTCTCTCCCCCCCCCCCCATATCTATATGGGTGCACCTGTCCTATTTCCGCAAAAACAAGAATGTGCAAATGGTCTCCAATCATGTAACAATAGATCCTTTAAAATCAGTTTGTGGGCTCTGCACACTGAAACAGGGCACTGATTGCCGTCTTTTAAAAGGCCAATTAGCACCCGACGGGATCACTAAAACAGCCAGAATAAGTATTCAGACATTTAAGGAACATTTTTGTCCCCTTTTGTGTCATTTCTGGGCCAGAGAGCGTTCTGGACGCGACACTTAGTGCCCTCATGAATTTAGGATTAGAGCTCATTACGGACGGATCGGCCAGGTGAAATTTTAATTAGCCCCGTGGACAGAACCCTGAGGATTCCCTTTGGAATTAATGACATCGGGATGGGTTGGGTTTGAGATACGCGGATCACATGGTTTAGGAAAAATGTGGAGATAATTTTAGGACTGAATCAGACAGTTCATGCCGCGATCTGAAATGTAATAGCTATTTATCTGCGGTATGGAACGAATTAATAATTTGGGGCTAAAAATAATCCATCCATATATTATGGAGGAACCGTGGTTATTGGTAAAGGATGAAATGGCCATTTGTTGCTGCGGTCATTGGTCCACACCTTCATCTGACTGTCCAGTACTTCGGTTAACGAGTCTGGCTTGTCTGTGGTCATCTTTGGGTTCTGTTTGGTCCCCTCGGTAGCACAGCACTCACGGTGACCTGCCACACACACACACACACACACACACACACACACCATCACGGGACATATGGACACAGGCAGCAGTAAGTGTTTCATGGACAGATGTTGAGCCCAGTTGCATCATAAACGTTACATGGGGCTTCGACTTCAGCTACACTGGTGTTGTGTGTGTTTGCATGGGACAGTGGTGGTGCTTGAAGTGGCTCCCCATTGATTCGGTGTAAAAATATAAAAACACTTTGAATGTCATGAAAAACGCTATATAAATGTAATATTCACCCATTCATTCATCCATCTATCCATCTATCCATCCTTCCATTCATTCATTCATGCATTCATTCAAGTGGAATGGTTACTGGGGGATACCTGAGGACCCAGTGTGAGATGGCATGGAATTCTGGGTAAATGGCCTCTCTGTCCGAAATGAAGCGACAGCATTCAGGAGCTAAAAAGCTTTCTGAAACGTCAGGAGGCTAAGAGCGTACTGTATCAGTCATCTGCCCTGCTTTTCATTCGTTTTCTTTTTGATGTGCTTGTCATCTTGTCGTCTTATCTTTAGTTTTCACACTCGACGGCACTATCTTAGCTCCCCCCCCCCCCCCCCTCCGGCTTGGAGTTTTTTTTTTTTTTTTTTTTTTTTTTCCCCCCCCGCGCCCCTTTTTTTCCCCCCCCCCCCCCCCCCATGCTGGAAATGAAATTTATGATTTTTTTTTTTTGGATGAATTCTTGGCGAGATCTCGTGAGCGCTCAGGACTGCGGCCAGTCTTCCCCAGAAGTGTCAATCCTGCCTCTCTGCCTTTTCCTGGAGGATTCACGGGGTGATGACATCGGCAGATGATATCCAGCGCGGAGCAGAGTCCGTCCTGAGCGACTGTGACTCCCAGACCCCACGGCCTCTGCGCGAGGCCCCGTTCCCTATTGAACGTCGGTCGTCGTCTGTAGCATTAAACGCGCAGCTTCGAGACAAACGGCGCCCCGTGAGGCGGAGAGAGGCGGCGCACACAGGAGGGCCACGTCTGACCGTTTTTCCCGGCCCGCGCGATTCGACGGTAGGCCCGCTCATCTGGAAAGCTGAGACTTCCTGATCTCTGGCTGTGCGTGCGCGAGCTTGCTGATCTGTCGTGTGCGGACTGGACCTGGAAGGATACATTATGTAGATCTCTCGGCACGACAGACTGCTTTTGTTCGCTGCAGTTTTCCGTCTGCCTCGGTGTTTCTCTGGTTTTGGTTTAGCGGTCGTTACCGTAAAACATGTCCGCAGACATACAGCTCAGCGATGTCTGTGTGTTGGGGTCTGATGTGAGACCACCCCTTCAGCATGACAGGGCTGCTGCTTGGAAGGGCAAATCCAGGGGGTTGGTGGGGTGGGGTGCGGGGCCGAGGGGGGCTCTGGTCATCGACAGTACAACAGCAATTTCTGACTACCACTGTACAAACAGATAATGTGTCAGATTATGAGGTAAGTAGATAAACAAGGATCCGAAGAGCTTAATGTGTTGGATTTTCCAGCTGGCATGTTGGTGCAGGTGTGGCACCAGAGGAGCCCCGGGAAGACACGCTGGTAGGTGTTCACCCCATGTTATTTAAAAACATATGGCTGACATGCGGCTTAACAAGCTAGGTTTCTGTGGCCGTGTCCTGGAGGTTGTGGGTTTGAGTCCCATAACTAATCATATCACTATAAGGACCTCAAGCAGGGCTCTAACTCCAACAGCTCCAGGGATGCAGGCCGAGCCTGCTCTCACGTAGGGGGTGGCGTGCGAATGACTGGGCTAGGCTGCTGTGTCTGTGATGGGAAGGTCGCTGGTTCAAATCCCGTAGTCGGCATGGTGATTTCACTGTTGGGCCCTTGAGCAAGACTCTTAACCCCAGATTCTCCAGGTACTGGCTGGCCATGATTCCTCAATTGCATGTTGATTTGGGTAAAAGTGTCTGCTAAATGATTATATGGGTTTGTCTGTCTCAAAAGAAGAGAAGGATACCCAGCTTCCACACAGGGAAGAATGCAGTAGCGCAGCCCGTGAGACGTGCTGGTTTTGTGATTTCACAAGAAATCGCCCAGGTGACGATTGTTCACTGCAGGATCAGCGGGGGGAGCCCGTTCAGCGAGCCGCAGTGGCTGAGTGTGCTTCAGTACGCCTCCCGTTAGATTAAGACATGAAATATTTCAGCTGCCAGATTTGAGAATGGAAGACCTGCCGCTTCAGGGAAAATGGGAACAAAGGAGGTAAGAGAGTGATACAATTAAAGTGGCCAGCTGAGAAACGGTGTTTTTGGCGAGTGAGTGAGCGAGCGAGCGATTCACCCCAGCTGATCCCCCCCCCCCCCCCCCCACAGCTATGCCCCCTGATTGTATTTGATTTGGGGATTTGCCAAGGGGTGTGACAGCCAGGTCCGCCCAGGAAGCTGCACTCGCGGTCTGCCTGGATCGAATGCTTTCCCTGCTCTGTGGCGCCACCTGTTGGGAAGCCGACATACTGTATCAGGCATGGCGTTTTTACCCCCCAGTATGATATTTAGATGACGATTCCCCGTGTAATGAATGCACCACAGTGAAGCAGCTCCTGCCTTGTGGGAAGGAGGAGATGCCCGCGTTTGATGTGCAGCTGTTGCCCAGCTGTGCCACTCTCCTCCCTCGCTAGCGGCCTGGCACCCGTGCCTGATGCACTTAACGAGCTCTTGATTGGTAACGACTTGGCCGTGGGATGCCAGTCAGCCTGTAGAAGTATGACACATCTCTACACTGGGCACAGGTATTACGGGATGTATGGTAT